GCAATTTCAGTTAATATCTTATGAAAAGCTTTACGCAATGGTACTCTAGAATAAAGACACGTCAGGGGGTTTCTCAAGCTTTTCCTAAGAACTTCGTCCTTATATTCACGTCCAAGCCAGTTGCCACACTTTACTTCTTACTTGATCCTTCCTCTATAAAGTTGTAATCCATTTCGCACCCCAAATATATATTCGCCAAATCGCTTCGGACACCGTAAATTCACTTGGTTTTTCAATCAAATTGAGGTATTATATTTTATATTAAACTGTATTCAATATTTTCTATCTATCACTTTATATTCATTCTTATCATCAGTGTCTCCAGCATTCTAATCACCTCTAAATCCCTAAAAAAAATCTACTATTAAAATCACTTAAACTTCCATGATGATTTTTATCAAACGTATTCTAAAAATATTTCTTACCAATTTTTAATTCTTCTTTTTGAACTTCCAATCTTGCTCAAGCATCTCACTGAATATTCGTCAAGGATGTGGTAAGGATGCTGATCATGGCAAAGAACAATATAAAGACGTCGGGTATGGCACGCGCTCGTGTACTCTCCTACATCTTAGATTTTTGTATGTGCAAGTTCATGATAAAAACACACATAGCCTTTTTTCTTTCTTCACTCAATGATTCTTCTCACTCGATTGTGTGTATGTATAGAACTCTATACTTCTCATATTGTGCTTCAGATACAACGCGAATGGCACGCGCAAGACTTCCGGCGGTATCAAATTCTTTGGTCTATTCTCCTCCAGGGACAAAGTGGAAAATAAGACTAGTCTATTGTATGAATGCATATTGAGCGGAAACGCGAATTCAGTCTTGCTGTTATACTTCACATAACCGCTCTGGTTGACGCCCGTTCCTTTGTTAACTAATGTCAACTTCTTTTTTATTGTCTATAGCACAGGGCGTACCAAACTGTTTGGAGGGTAGCAGACGAAAAAAAGGTCAACCGAAGTTGACTCGTTATTTAACGTTCGGAAATGGAGTATTTATTTTTCTTTCATTCAACCGAATGAGTATTTATCAAAAAAGAAAAAAAAATAGATCCTATTTCCTTCGTTTGATGCAGTTGGAGATTAATCAATCAGTCATGATCAATATTTTTGGAGTCTAATTAAGAGATCTGATTCCCGTCAAAAATGAACAATACTTGCAGTCAATTGTTTTTTTTTGACTTTTCAGTTCCTTCATTGTTACGCCTTACTTCCTTCAAGCTTCTGAATCATTATAGCAGCGTTATTGTTGATGTCATCGTTATTTCAGAATGGTTTGCCCGGCAAATCTCAGGTTACTCGGTTGCGTACAGCCTGTCTATTGTTGATGTATGGCTCCAAAAACAGTACGCAACGACCAACATGAGCGATAATATAAAAATTTTGAAAGAAATTAAGGAAGGAGGGAGGAAGCTTGGGGTATTGAGGGTCTTTTTGCGTTATTATTATGCTATATTTGCTCATATTGGTTGCCTTGTTTTCTATTAAAGCTAATTTAAAAGTCGTTTTATAGTCAATCGTTTTTATTTTTTTATTTATAATATTTAAAAATAATCTCAAAATATTTTTTTGAGTTTCAAAAATAGGTATATATATTTTCTTAATCATATTAAAATGAAATAAATGTTAAAAATTTAATTGAAATTTTATAAAAATAAGTAAATAATTGGATATGAATAATTTTTAAAGCCACAACGTGTATGTACAATAGATCCTGGTGAACTGTTGGGAATTTAGTATTGCTTAGAAAGGTCTTTTATAAAAAGTGTCCACTGATAACAAGACTGCCTGATGTGTGTACTACATTATACATGCGTTGAAAGGACCATGCAGGAAAAGAGGAAAAGAATAAAAGTTCAAGGTTCCCGTATGTCGTTGCAGCTGCACGTCAACCCCCTGCCATGTTTCTCGCTTTAACACATTCGCTTTTTTGCGAATACAAAAGCCGAAGCTTTTAATTATATAAAGATTTTATATTTTATGGCCATCAGTGTTGAGAAAAAAATTATTTGAGCATCGAGAATAAAATAAAATACATTTGTAAATGCATACACATCTTACTACTCCAATTTATTGTGAATAAATTTTGAAGTTTGAAGTTTTTGGAGTTCTAATACTTTTTACTATTATTAATAAATTGTTAAGATAACAAGAACAATTGTATATATTAATATAAATATATAAATCCATTAGTACATATGTACTAGAATGAAATCGGCTTATGTGTCATCATTCAACTAAATCTAGAGTTCTCCAGAGGGTTGGTCCAAGAGCTTTGCGTTTCCAAGGGGCTGTATTGTGTCTCCTGTCATCTTCAGCCTTGGTCTTATTTGCACCCAAATGCTAATTATACGTCAACGATTCGCGCGCCAGTTGACGACGAAAAGCTGCCGAGTGTCTGGGATGGAACAATGACTGGTAGGGATAGATATTATAAGAAAGGACAATAAGAGACGCCAAAGCTCAGAGTGGGTGTTTATACCCTTTCCATAATCGTCAAAGATGTTTTTTTATGGCTTCATATTCTTCTCTTAAGTGTTGGGGCAATTGCTCGATATTGCCAACCTTCTATCCACAGGCAAAAAAATTACAATACCATGATAAATTATTATTTTTTTTTAAAAAAAGAATAGCAAACTGAAAAATACTTTAAATAAACTACAAAAAATAAATATTTACTTTTACTATCAAATTGTATTTTTTATCAAATAGTAGATCAAGAATTATTGCTTTGTAGCGTGCAAACAATTTTTTATATAATCGTTCTATAGTGTAGTCTATATTTATGATAATAATCTAGAAAACTTATTCATTTCGAATATATTTATTTTTTAAACTACAAAAAATATCCTGAACATTGTCGAATTTTTAGATTGTGTATTGATCACAGAAAAGACGTTTTAAACAGAAAAAAAGCCAACAAAGTTAAAAAAAAAAGAATGTAAAAAATAAATTGTCAAATCCAAAGTTCTCTAAGTAGACTAACTAACATCCGGTGGTATTTGTATTTACAATATCTACATATCCTTGAACATTATGTATAAGTACACTGTTGTTAGAACAGTAATTTCTGCTTGTTCGAACCTCCTAGATGGTGTAATTATAACAAATCTCAACTCAACTGCAACGTTCAAATTTACAAAGCCATTTCAAGTTACTCGTAGTAGTACTGAAAGTGTACTTATTCGATTTTCTTCGAGCTTTTCAGCAGTCTGTAATATTCATTCTCACTTCAGTTAATAGTTTATTAGGTGCAATAGAAGGGGTTGTAGACGAAGGTGGTGATTGGATTCGTTAGACCATTCGTAACTCCATCGGTAAACTTTGTACATTGAACATCTCCAACGTCTTCATTGTACCTTGGTTGATTCTCTTCCCACTCAATTTTATCCATTCTGCCACCTCCGGTTTTCTACTCGACACTTTTTTTTATTTTGTTCCTGCGGTATTGATCGATATTGTTTCTTTCTCACAATAAATACAAAATTACTGGTTATAATTGTAATTAGTTCCTTAAAAGTGAATACTGAATTTGTAATTTAATCTAGTATTATTGATCAATTCTTCACCATCATCAACATCAATATCATGTCGATTTTCATTTGTAAGTTTAATTCTTAAATAAAAATAATCATTTCTTGTTGTTATTTGTTGTATTTTAAATAATTAAAGAAAAAAAAATTCAAATCTAAAGCATCAAGGACACAAGTTTTGTGTTTTCTTTTCATTGTTCAGCCTTAACTGTTCATCTGCTGGCCTCTTCACCCCGAATTGTTATAAAAAAAAACCAAAAAAAGAGTAATCAGTACTGGGATGTTGGGTTAGCACGTTAGCCATGTCACCCATAAAATAAATCCTCTGATGATCGACTCTTGAATTAAGTCTGACAAAATGGGCCCTCAGTTTTGCAGCCATGCTTTGGTCGTGAATTGAAGCAAATTGGATAAAATTGATGATCCACAATTGCCTGACTCGCGCGCGGCACAACAATGATAATATCCGCTATACATTTACGAGCCCTTTTTTGCTCAGTTATCTTAGCCTAATTCTTCAAATGCCCTATTACACCTAATATAGCAATCACGATGACTGGTTTACCGAGGATTTCAAGTTTATTATCATTACGTCACACACATCTAGACCTATGTGTCCAACTTTGCTGTTGAATACAGGCATTCACATTCGCATACACGCATGAGTGTATAAACAAACCCACAGGGGCGTGTTTTAGCTCATTGCTGCGTTCCTGTGGGTTGTCGTATCGTGGGGAAACTTGGGATTTCTCTCTCCTCCCCATCTGTAACACTACAGTTCTTTAGATCTCAATCACGTAACAGTCTCGTGTTTTCATTACAGACTTGGACTCTCCATGTCATCTAGAAATAACGGAAATTCACTTTTGTAAAAGATATTGATGGTTTTTTATTAGATTTGTTTTCAGTAGATAATACTTTTCTACCATTTATTTAGAAATGTATTATTTCATTCTTGGGTACAATGTGCAGCTTTAATGAAAAATAAACAGAAATGTTAATAAACGGTAGAGATGTGCTCCTTAATATGACTGACATGCGCAGAAATGGGTACATCAAGTCTGTATGTATTCTACTATTCAATTCAAATCGTCATTCCAAGTCCAAACAGAGAACGTCATTCCGTGAAGCAAACATCCTTGACTTTCATGCGAGCAAGTAGTCAAGCCAATCATGAGTTAGTTTGCTGTCTTGCTGGGGTAACTTGAATGACCATTTGACATCTCATTCATCTTTTCATTTTTATTCGTCGCTGAATATACCAGAAGTATAATAACTGTATAACTGTACGTATGTTTGAATGAAGAAGAATACTTGAAATTGAATTATTCATTGCAAATTTAGGAAACCTTTTACTTTTCGTACAACTATCATCTAGATGGTTTTGCAAAAAGTACATACGTATTCTTTTTTTTATTTGATATTTCAACATCTTCTGATAAATCATTTTTGCTTACAGGAAAAAAAATGCAACCGTTGGAACGAGCAAGTAAAAATACCACAATGACATCATCAGAGACACCAACAAGTCTTCCACGATCAGCAACTGAAGATTCAAGATCTTCATGTAGAAACCTATCAACTTTAACATTTTCAATTGCCAAAATAATGGAACCAGATAACAAACGATTATCATACGAATCTTGTCCAGTAGCTACAACAATTTTAAGACATCCAACACCGAGTATACCTTCATTATCATACTCAGCTCACTTGGAATCTGCATTTAAAAAATACGTACCAACTTTGAGGCAACAAAGCTTACTCCAACACTACCCTCTTATTTATTACCATCCAAATCCATTGCTGAGAAGTTTTCCTAGTGGACCAGTGACCCCTAGCAACAATAATGCACCAACTGCAATCAACAGTCATCCAGCATCTCCACCAATTTCACCAGCGCTTCAGACAACTTCAACTGAGCCGGCACAAAATAATGAAAATAAGTCAGCAGTAGGTTCAATTCCACTTCAACTACCTGCAGGTTCTACATCTCAACCCTCATTGGCAAACCAATCATTACCAAGTAGTCGAGAATCAAATTCTGGTAAACAAAAGATATTTGCTTGTCCCTCAGTGTGGAAAAGTATTTAATGCCCATTACAATTTGACTCGCCATATGCCTGTGCACACTGGTGCTCGACCATTCGTCTGTAAGATTTGTGGAAAGGGATTCCGGCAAGCAAGTACCCTCTGTCGTCACAAGATCATCCATACTGCTGAAAAGCCACATAAGTGTAATACATGTGGCAAAGCTTTTAACCGCAGTTCCACACTAAATACACATACTCGTATTCACGCCAACTATAAGCCATTTGTATGTGAGTTTTGTGGCAAGGGGTTCCATCAGAAAGGCAATTATAAAAATCATAAACTCACACATAGTGGGGAAAAGGCGTACAAATGTAATATATGTAATAAGGCATTCCATCAAATTTACAATCTGACATTTCATATGCATACTCATAATGACAAAAAACCATTCTCTTGTAAAATATGTGGCAAAGGTTTTTGCAGGAATTTTGATCTCAAAAAACATATGAGAAAGCTCCATGATAGTATTTCACCAGTCATTACGAATAATGTGGACAATCCAACAGGACAAACACATTTAGATCAAACGAGCTTTTCATCAGTACATCATGGTACTTCTGGACATGCTTTTGTTAGTCCATTTCTATTACCATCTCCTAGTTCTCATCAAGTAAACTATCTGACTAAAATGTTGTGACAAACTGAGAACAGTGTACATTATTTCAGTAGAAAAAATCAGTCACAATTGTTTTTTAGTTCTATGGGTTATAATTCTCACAGTGATGTTGGACATCATGTTTTCAAATGAGATGAGATTTAATATTTGATAATAAATTTTGCCAGCAAGGAAATTCAATTTTATACTGTGCGCTATGATGATATAAAATCGAATTCAGTTTCAAGTATTTAAAATAGAGAAATAGAAAGACTGACAATTTTGCCGGTTCATCAAAGCGGAATTTTTCTTTTTCTTTTAATTTCGGCTTCAGAAGCTAGGCCAAGCGAAAGCGCTAAATCCTAGGATTTAAACCAAGCTACTGGATGACGCACAGAAAGACTTATTTTATAAAGGTCGATGTGACACGTGGGATGCACGAGTGCGTAGTTCCGGTGTGGGAAGGCACACCTGTGAGATGGTATATATATATTTATAAAAATATCAAATCGGTTTGTTATCGTTATAAAACGATTATCACGATATTGTATTGAATATATCAAAAAATGTTTTAAATGGAATGATTAATAACAGTAAAAAGGTGCAATTGTATAAGTAAATAATATTTTTTTTTAACATGTACATAATTTGTATATAAGATTTAAACTGGAATAAAAGTGAAGTATATTATTGTGGATAAATTTTAAATTAAAATACTGTCTCTCTGATACATGTCTTCTAAATTTCTAATAGTATTACCATTATAAATCTAGGATATTTTGTGATGGAGATACATTAATAGCAGTGTCCAAAAAAAAGAACCTACATCAATTAAAAATTTTTTCATATCAAAATCCAAAATAAGAATAATCTTGTTCATCTGCTCATTATTATTAGCTAAAAATAGTATCAATTATTTTGTTATAATAATTGTTTGTTTCCAATTAAATTTGTTCAATGTAAATAATTGTTATAAAATAAGTCACTTATAAAACTTGGTTTCCATCAATCATCCTTTTTATTGACTCTGTTATTAGCATGTAACTCCAATTACTAATAAAATACGAAAATGACATGTGTAAATTGGTGTGATAGTAAATTTAAGCTAGACAAATGAATTAGATAGCTAATGTAATTATATCATAATATTGGATTGTCTTTGTATTATGCAGATATATAAAGTATTAAATGAATATATAAACTTATTGCTATGATAAAAAAAAACAAACCAAATAATTTAATTGATTTTTATTTATCTGCATATGAATAATTATTAGGTTGGCTTTGTATGTTAACTTGTTCTGACGCACTGTGACGATTGTAAAAATTAACTGTCTATGCATTAAAAAATATCTATATATCTATTATATAGTGACACTTTTTCTGGTGAATAAAAATCACGCCCTTATCATGGATCCATCTTCTTACATTTGTATCCTATTATACATATTATAGTTATCGTGCAAAATTAACTGATTTACGACAATTAATGTGAATGATGATTAAAAATTTTTCTAAAAATTAATCATTCTTAATGCATATTTGTGCACTTCAAGTTGGATGAAATAGAATATGTATAGATAACGTAGACGTAGAGGTATCAAAAATATGCATACATATTTCTCATTGTAAATAATTTCATCAAGGCAATAAATTATTAATGAGGATAAAAAATAATTTTACTTTATGTTTAATATTTTTACCTATCCTATCAATCAAATAAGTTTTTATTTTAATTAAAAATAAATTTTTATATTTTTTTAGCTAAAAACTTTTTTTAAAACATAATCTTTGAGCTTTAATATTCGTTCTGGCGAAAATTTTCAAAAAAAAACTCTTGAAAATAGGAGGCCAAGCTTCTCCAGCTATCTTTAATGATCTCGATACAATTTTTTTTACAAAGTTACAGTTGGGTGGTCTTGTTTAGTTTCTTGTATATGTACTCATGTGTATGTATAAAAGGTCGTGATAGAACAAGATAAAATATGTATGGAGATTTGCAAGCAGTGATCACGGTATAGGAAAGAAGAAAAGAGGGCAATAGCATATGATACGGTGTCGTGTAAAAACGTATACTGATCAGTGATGTAGATATCCTATCCTCTTTACTGACATGTATCTAGAGTAGGCATCTGTTCTCTATATCTATTAAATTTCATTTTGCACAGGTTAGCACATTGGTTTAACCCATTCACTTTGTTCTTTTTGCTTTTCTCAGCTATCTCTTATCACGCTACTGATGACTCTGCAGTACAAAATTGCCACAATTAACTATTTTTTAGACCAATCAAGTTTTTATCAACATTGTAGAGACTTCATTATAATTTTCTTCAAATAATACCTTGTAAAATTATCAAATTATTTTTAAATTATTATTGAAAATAATTACATGGATAACTAATTTGTTGAAAAATGTTTAATTAAGGATGTTAAAAGATTGATGCTCCTGATTAGGATTAATTCAAGTAAATTGTAAACTAGAATCAGTGGAAGATAATTTTATCAATTAAAATAAAATGTTTCAAGCTTATCAATTAGCATTTAACAAAGCTGATGATCAAAGAATATTGATAATGAGTATTTCATCAATAATTCTGGAAAAAAAATAAGAATTGGTAATATTTGAGTGAAGACTAAAAGTGAGAAAGACAATAGTGGTGAATAAAAGATCTGGTCTAACATGAAGTAATGAGGGGCTGTGCACAAACAAGTTATTTAGCGACATTTAATGCGAGAATGATCTATAGGGATCCACTTGGGTCCACCTTCCTTTCGACAAGGACAATTAGGGGTGGATTATTGACACCTGGTCATGGACTCACGCTGTTTCTCGAGTCGTTGCCTCTTTGGATTTCGTAAGTAGACAAGAATAAAAAGAAAGAAAAAAACCACTACTTTGCTATATAGCTTTCCGCTTTTCTGTATCGAGTCTTGTCGGCTCAGTAAATTTCTTTTCATTGATATTCGTTCTACCACGATTCCGGTATTTCAATTTTACTTTATACCAATATATTGTATAATAAAGAAGAATAGATTTCACCATTGTCATCTTGAGAAAAAAAATTGATGGATTCTTTCAAATTACTCCGTACTATATTTTTAGCTACGTTAAATTGATTCTCCACTTTTCAACATTCCCTCATTATTACTTTTGTAGATAACGACTGTGTATTATGTCGATATATAATCATGCTTCTCGACGTACCTATTTTTATGGTATATGTATATATATATATCCCTTTATCGAATATATGCAAAGGTTGTGTTTGGAGCTGTTAATATCCCTCATAATTGGTTAAAACCCCCGTAACTGATGAGCGAACTGCAAGTTATTATGCGCGAAAGACCCTCACGTTTGGCAATAGGGCTTTATGGAACACGGTTCAACACCTCTTCATTACCCTCTTCAACCATGGTGAGTACACTACATTATATACTGTCCGTGTTCTCTGGCGCCTTAACGTTCTAATACGCCATCGCTGTATTGTGCATTATCCACCCCTTGTAATTCTTGCCAAATCGCTATTGTTCCTTATTAAATTCTTTCTTGCTATAATCGTATGTTTTTAGTCGAAAAACAAAGAACAGTTTTACTACTAAATTCAATTAATTCGGTCAAGCAGAACTTGTCAGCTAGGAATTTGTGTCCTATAGATTCATTTTTTATTTTAATGAAATTAAATCATGAAAACTTTTTGTATATTTCATTAGAACAGAAAATTTTATTTTTATTCAAACAATAAATTGAAGGAAATAAAAAATTTATTTAAGTAATAAATAGATTGGGGGTGTATTGATCAACAGTGTTTTTAATTCAACTTCTATGACATTATACAAAGTGGTCATACGTTTTTTGTCCTATTCAATTTGGTTTATTGCTTAAACACAAAAATAGGGTGGGTTGTGTTGAGGGGTAATACTAAACTACGGCGCAAGAGAAAAGCCAAAAGAGACGAAGGGAGAGAAAGTAGCAGACATTTTCGAATCTGTTTAATCTTGGTCCGTAGCGCGTAAGTGAAAGCTATCTCCGTGAATGTGAAATCAAACAAAGCGACAAACAAACCCGGGAGTCAAAGTTTCCGTAAAGCAGAAGAGGTAAGGGCGAGAAAGCGAACACCCCTGGCGAGAGTTGTTGAGTGCTTTTGATGTGACGATGCCGCCAAGAGACGACACGATCACGTCACACTCCAAGTGTTTATGAACTGAGAATCTTTTTCATTTTTTCTTTTTATTTTCAACCTCTTGTTGATTAATTTTTGGTTTTTTTCTCACACCTTTTGACACCAAAGTAAAAAAATTTACTATTTTTTGTGGTTATATAATTAAATAAAATGTATCAAATATATGCATATAAATAAAAAAGTAAAGCTATTGAGAATCCATTCTATCGTTGGTAATTAACAAGAGGAAAAGAGATAAATTGCATTCAAAAAGATATAAAAGTGGATATTGTATAATTGCCAATTAGTTCTCTTCCTTTCTGACTATATAAAATATAAAAAATAAATTCCATCAATTGAAAATTTTTACATCTTATTATTCTTTTATTCAACTCTAATAATCAATATTCTCCTATTTTTTTCCTTTTGTATTTCTTCTCCTCATAAAAAAATGCTAGATTTATTCTTTGACTTATAGAAAATTCGCCATTATATACAATAGACAGTACTCCTGAAATTATTTCCAATCATCTTTAGATAATAACAGAAAATAATTAAAATTAATTATTAGCTAACTATCACTGATTTTTTTATTGAATTTTTGTGTTGCAATTGTGGCTGTAAAAATTAGAAAAAAAACTTATATTGACTAATTACATGTTAAGATGGGTCAAATAAATGATGAATAAGATTTCCACGCAAATTCAATAGTCATCTGCTACCGAAAATTTACTCGAGTGTAAAAAATACCGACAATAGACGGTCGGTGAAAATTATAAAGCTCAAGTAAAGTAAACACAAACATAACAACAAGATACAATGTATCGGAAACACGGATAGATGGTGAGAGACTCGACACGAGACATTAAGCATTACAAAGGTTACTACCTTTCTTTTGACAAAGAAAAGAAAATAGGTTCCGACAATTATCAATAAATGAACCTACGGATCATTTTACTAATTTCTTTATAAAAGTTGAATAGATTATGATAATATATTTAGTTCACTTCGTTAACCTGGAGTATATTTTTTTACGGTAGCTGATTGAAGAAAATAGATTGAAGCATTACATTGTTATACTTACAACAGATAAATTGATCACTTAGTGTCTAACAATTGAATTCTTCAAAAAAAAAAATTCTTAAATATACCGACAGAAGAATTTGAGGAATATTAAAAAATCATTTGTTTGATTGAAATATTTTTTTCTCAATGAATCTTTCAAGAGAAGATATTTGTAAGTACATGTCAATAAAACGTACATCATAATATAAATAATTGAAAAGCCATGGTGGTTGATAATTTTTTTACTTTCTCAAGCCAGCATTATTACTGCCAAATTTATAAGGGTCGATTTAATTTAATGGAGGGGGCATAAACCTCACGCCTGCAGTCACACAGGGGATAGAAAGCAAAAGACCGCGTGTTGATCGGTATTTAGTGGTGTCTGAGAGTGACATGAGATTCCCCATGTTTCGACCCTTCTTGATGCCAATTTAACCCTTCGATTATTCAAAGAATGCGTATCGCATCGTATTATATATAAAAACACATTCGCCAATTGTCCACGCATGGAAGCCACTTCTGTCAATAACTAAAACAAAAGCTTCATTCACTCATTATTGACAAGAATTTTCGATATAATTTTTTCATGACGCTGTTGATCTTGATGGCAAGTTTTATAGTGGAAAACTGAACGTCAAGACAATGAGTTAAGTTGAGTAATGGCTTGGCGTTTTGTTTTTATAATTTAACAGGAGAAAATATACGTGCGTGTATTGTGGGTGGACAGGTTAAAAGTGATAAAGGGGCGACGAAGGAGGGAATGTCGTCGCGAAGCGCTTAGTGAGATTGCAGCCGGCAATATAACACAATACAACGTGCGTGACACGCCCGATGGAGCTTGGGGGTTGGAGCAGACACTGAAATCTCGCCAATTCTAGGGGCGGTTTGCCACACCCCCGTACAGCAGCTCTTGTCGGCTTTTATCCCAGAACTTGTGCGACGACTCTTTGGGTGAACGAGAGTACAGAAAGAATAGGAAAAGAGAAATGATGACGACAACAACGATGAGACATGAGAGAACCTAGGACTGAATTTTTCTTTTCTTCTTTTTATTCACTTCTACCCTCTCAACCAACGTCACCAGCTATAGAGCTTTCATTATATATAACTGAACTTTAACGTTTATTTTATAATGATATTTTGCCATTACAAATCCTTGTTAAAAATATCTCTGTTTATCCGTTTTATTTCTCCAATAAATTTATTCAACATCATCTAGTCTATCAGACTAATAAATAAAACTACTTGCCAAAGGTGGATTTAAATTTTTATTATTTGATGGTAGAAATGATTTTATGGCTGATATAAAGGTTGAAAAAATTCTTGTAACATCTGTAGTCACTAGTATGAATACGAAAAAAAAACA